GAAGGTGCTTTGTGGACTCAGCTTGTGCGGATGATTTTGAATATTTTGTTTTGTGACCACCTCTAGTCGCTTTGGCCTTTTTAAAATTTTAAATATAATTCACAGATACAGGTTCTAGAGAGACCTGTAATCATTAAAGAACAGAAGCAGGGCGGCCTCTCACTGAAAGCTATCACTATTGACAGCCTCTCAACTGTGCTATCAGGTGTAATTTTATGTTTGATAGAGGTCGGGAATCTGTCCTTGTTGAGGGGAGATGTGTGGGAAGCTGGCTACAGCTCTTTGATGGTTTAGGCATAGACAGTCAAGTCACAGGATCTCTTGAGAAATCTTTGCCCTCAGCCTGGGTATGTTAATTTGCAGCGTTAAACATTTAATGCACTAAGGTTTGTCATTCAGATTTCTCAAAATGTCGCCCAAAACCTTACAAGAGAAGCCCTCCCTTTGATGTCATTCTCACCAATATGGTTGCCTCAAGATATGTCCTTACCGAGTTTAGATGCTGTACAGTCTCTGCCTTACAATTGCTGAGAACAAATAATTGCAGTTTCAGGACCACTGATAGCGCCAATTGTCTTTCTTACACAGTCCACCCTAAAAGCGAAACCTTTAATGACTCATACTTGAGAAGCTTTGACAGATGGGAAGATGTAATTACTCCTTAAAGTGAGGTTAAGAAACCGAAGGTTGTGGAGGTGGAAGGCTAATTCTATATAGCTTGATAAAACTGCTTTGTCATTATCAGTATATTCAATGTATTCCTATCTTGCCTGATTTGAAATTGATCTCTGTATGCTGGGGGGTGGTTGTGTTGTTGTTGTTGTTTTTTAAGATAATATCTACATGTTTGCATACCTTACAGAGAGAATAGTGCTTCCTGAGACATTTGGAAGCTTGACCTCTTTGCAGTTGCTGTAGCTTTAAGGTGCTGTTGGGACTCTGGCTGTTAGAAATGGAGTAGAGGCATCTGGGTTGTTTCCATGTCTTAACTATTGTAAACAATACTACAATAAACATAGGAGTGAAAGTTTCCTTTTGATTTAGTGTTTTTGTGTTCTTTCCGTGAATTCCTAGAGTAGAATGGCTGGATCATATGTTAGTTCCATTTTTAGAGTTTTGCAGCAACATGGATGGAGCTAGAAGGGATTTATGCTAAGAGAAATAAGTCAGAAGGAAAAGATAAATATCGGTGGTTTCATTTACATATGAAAGAGAAAGACAAAACTTGCAAACTGACCGCAGATCTGAGGTGCACAGCAGGGGAGGGAGTGAGAATTTTCAGAACGGGGAGAGAAGAGCACAAGGGACTGTGGCTGAGTCAAAGATGCTGCGTTGGTGGGATACACCTGAGGGGAGAAACCAAACGCTGTCCAAACATCACAGCCGTGTGGGAAGATTCATTAATTAAAAAAATGGAATAGAGGGTAGAAAATTAGTAGCAGTGAAGACATTCTTTAGGAAAGGGTAATTGAGGTATCTTCTGTTTGTTTTCTGGTACAAACACACACAAAAGAGCAGTGTGGATACCACTGGCTAGTATTGTGTCAGGGTATTTAAATAACTATTGGGATTCTATTTCCTGTCTTTAATCTGGATACAGGCTCAGGTACTGGGATATCCCAAAATATCGTCATCTGATCCTGGTGTTGACTGCAGAGGAAGTGGTTTTTCACAGGGTGCTCTGCGGGAGAGGATTTAGGAATGCCTTTGCTGTTTTTCCTTTCCATCTTTCTAATAGAATGTCAAAACAGTTGTTAAAGATCTGTCAGCATGGGGCTGGAGATATGAAATGCACTCACCAGGGTGTTATTTGTTCTTAGCCCGTTTAGTAATTTCTAAGATCATGTAATTTTCTCTTTTTGCCTTAGGTTGGCGAGAAATCCAGGTACTCAGTTGATTGGCACGTTCTGCCACCATGGGGGAGCTTTTCCGGAGTGAGGAGATGACGCTGGCTCAGCTTTTTCTCCAGTCTGAAGCTGCTTATTGTTGTGTCAGTGAATTAGGAGAACTTGGAAAAGTTCAGTTTCGTGATGTAAGTAATTGTGGGGCTGTTTCTTGATGCCCACTAAACTATTTTTTTGTCATGACCAATTATCTTATAATGAATGTTTTGCTTTTTATTTGCAAAAATAACATTATAACACATGCTTACTATTGGTAAACTGTACACTTTGATTTGTCTCTAGAGATGAGACTGTTTTGTACCAGTGTTTCCCAGGCTTTTGTTTGCTCCCCCTTTGAGAATAATCTGGGCATTTTCAAGATAATTGTTTAGAATGCAGCTAAAGGACACCAAATTAACCTGTTCAAGGCTTGCTTTTGAGTGTCATAACACTCAGGTCCATAACACTGATAGCATTTTATTAAAGATTGATTTATTTATGCATACAAGCACTGGCATAGACCAAAGGTGGGGGCGGGGGGTGAGAGGATTCACCAGAGACAGTGGGGAGCAGAACAGACAGATTCAATGAACTATACTGAAGTTCATTGAACTACACTGATGAGGGGAGCATCAGGCGAGATAGGAGAGGTCTGTTGTGCCATGTGGGTCAGCTCCCTGGGTGGGAATCGAACTCATGCTGTAGTGACTGGTGGTAGCTTGGTAGTGCTGAGCCTTTAACCCCTGCACCACCAGGGAGGACCCCGAATATCCATTATTTTGAAGCATTATGTTGGGCACTTGGAGATGCTATAAAAAAATAGATATCTTAAGTTAAAAAATGTGTCTGTGGATCTACTGTCTAGGAAAGTGTCATATACATTCCTGAAAGGAGTAGGCTGTGGACAGTTCCCATTGTGCCGTCTCAAAGCTCCTCATGCCTCTTCTAGTGTTCATTATAGCTGTGATTTTTTTTAAAGATTTATTTATTTATTCATATAGAATTGGGGTACAGGCCAGAGATGCGGAGGGTGAGAGGATTCACCAGAGACAGAGCGGGAAGCAGAACAGGCAGATCTACGAAGTACACTGCTGAGGGGAGCAGCGGGTGGGTCAGGAGAGGTCTGCCTCGACATGTGGATCTCCTCCGGGGCAGGCAGGAATCGAACTCATCCGAAAGTGGCTCAAGCTTCTCAGTGCTGTGCTTTAACCCACTGCGCCACCAGGGAGGGCCCAGAGCTGTGATTTTTACATCCACCTGTATATCTGGTTAAAACTTCTCTCCTTTACAATGATCTAACTTCCCCGAAGACAGAGACATTCATTACTGTGTTCTTAGGGCTGACGTCCTAGATAATCGTCATCACTGGTTAGCACGAATAGTTGAAGGAGAGAAGTGGTCAGCACAGGGTAGAACTAATACCGGCTTCCTGGCTGGAGCTGCAGCCTTTCAGGAAGTTCTGTCAGAGCTGAAACTGCACCGCTATAACTTATGATGTGGTCTAATTCCTCACTCTCCTTGAACCTTTTACACATCTGTCTTTGAATGTTCTCCCTGGCTCTGATTCCTTCCTTTGCCTTTCTAATGACTCACACCATCTTGCCTTGGCCTCTCCTTCTTGCAGGTGGCTTTGTTCCTTAAAAGCTTTCCTCTGCTCCCTCTGGTTATCTTCTCCACACCCACATCTTCCTTTAGCACCTTTTTTTTTTTTTTTTTTTTTTTTTGTGATCTCATCTATCCTCAAAGCTCCTTTTATTCTGGCCTTGCTTCCAAACATTTACACCTAAGATTTTTGTCACCTCTACTTCTCAAGCTCCCTGTGTCTGAATTCCAGCCCCATACCTTTCAACAAGCTATTTCTCCATTTGACTTTCTAAACATGAGCTAGTGCATAGATATTCTCCCAGTTTTCTGGACTTGAAGCCTAAATCAAACCTAAGTCACCCTTAATTTGCAATTCTGGTCCTGTGGTGTTTCTCCGCCTAAGATCCACTTTTTGTATTAAGCAGTATAAGATTTTATTCATGATTTATTTCAATCATGCAAATATTTAAAAGGAGTCATAGAATGAAATCAGGTTTTCTACTATCTACTTACTAATCAACCAACTGAAGCGACATTACTCTTTCCTTCATGCCGCTCCTCTCATTTCCTCCCAAAGGTGGTAAACTCTGTGGAAGTTTCTGCTTTTACTGTTAGAGCATATTTTTATTTTTGACTTTCACTATGTATGTCTGTACCATTAAACGATAATGCATGGTATAATTTTTACATTTTAAAGTTACACACTTCGTATTGTATATTTAGCTTTATTTATTTATTTTTATTTATTTTTTTCTGGAAAAAATAAATTTATTTCATCTCAAATTTTAGGAATCATTTCTATTAGCCCATCAAATCCAAAGAGTGGCTTAGAAAAAGTAATTTCAGAACTGAATTATTATTTCAAGAGGGAAATAGTTACTGTTTTTGAGGAAAACACAAAGACGGGGTGGACACAGCCTAGGACGCTTCTGCTGGAACAGGACAGTCATGAGGAAGAGGACACAGGGCAGTGCGGGAGGAGCCTGGTGGGCAGGGTGGGGCCTGTCTCCCACCTCACAAATTATCGAATAGGAACATAGACCATTCAGAAGTCTTTTGCAGTAAAGGAAACCAGAGGATCTTGAAGTCACAATGTGGGGATGAGAAAAAACACTGCATCACTCAGCCCCACAGGCAGCTCTCCCACACCTTAGGGCTGAGAGACACATCAGAGCCCTGGAAACTGGCCTTGCCTGCAGCCTGAGTGTAACTTCCTCCTTTTCCACCTGAGTGCTTCTTCCTCTACATCAGCTGCAGCCACTACAGCCCCAGTGAGCACAGCTTCAAGGAGAACCAGGCCAGCAGTGATGCCCACAGTTAGGATAGAGGACTGAGGAGGGGGCTCCCATCCCAGGACTCTCGGCTCCAGCGGCCCCTCATTCTGCACGTGGCATTTGTATCTCTGCTCCTCTCCAGAAGGCACCACCACAGCTGCCCACTTCTGGAGGGTTCCGTCCCCCCCAGCTCCGTGTCTTGGGTCAGGTCCTTCCCATCTCACTGCCAGTTCAGGGTGATCTCTGCAGAGTAGAAACCCCGTGCCCAGTACCTCAGGGTGACCTCATGGTCATTGGTGCAGTGGTGGGTCATGTGTATCTTTGGGGATCTACCTCGCTCTGGTTGTAGTAGCCACACAGGCTGCTCAGGCTGTCACAGTACAGTCAGCATAGCTCAATTATTCATTCATGCATTCATTTATATATGTATGTATTTATTTTTGTATAGAGGAACTGGAGTGCAGATCAGAGGTGAGGGGGTTCACATGAGAGGACCCACCAGAGAGAGAGTGGGCAGCAGAGCAGGTGGGGGCTTCATTGCAATACACTGCTGAGGGGAACAAAGGGCTTGCCTGGAGAGGTCTGCTGTACCCTTTGTGGGCCAGCACCCTGGTTGAAGGGAGGGGGTGTTAAATTCACACTGCCATGAGAAAGGCCCACTAGCTCATTCCTTTAAAATGCCTTACAGTACTGTAAAGCCATCCACCATTTCCCTTTTTTTCTCCTTCTGATGAACACGTAGGCTGATGTAAAATTTTTGCTATTACAGTGTTGCCTTTGTGATAGTTTCTCTAGATCAGTGGTTCTCACACTTTCTGGTTTCTTACAAATTATTGAGGACCCACACAGGGCTTTTATGTGAGCTTGTATAGCTATTTATTGAATTGGTAGTTAAAACTGAGAAGTGTCTAAAATATTTATTAAATCAATTGGAAATTGTAATAGTAAATCAACTGCATTAGGATAAAAAAACATTTTAATGAACTCTGTGTTTTCCAAAATAAAACAAAAAGGAGCATGGCATTGCTTTTACATTTTTGAGAATCTCTTTAATATTAATCTGAATTAATAAAAGCCATTGGGTTCTCATCTTTGCCTTTGCAGTTAGTTTGATGTGATGTATGTTGTGAGCCTCTGGAAAACTTCTCTTATTTCTCATGAGAGAATGGGATTGAAAAAAGGCAAATCATGTCATAGTATTAGTATGAAGGTAATAGTGATCTCACAGAGCTGCTGCTCCCAGGATTGTAAGGAGGAGGGGAAGGGCATTGCTGAGTGTCACGTGTGACTAACTATGAGGTCAAAGTGTACTGCACAGTGAACTCTGCCCAGTGAACTTATCTGCTCACCTGGATGTAACTGAAGCCCCTGTGATGTGGTATACTTTTCTCATATTACATTACTCCCAGCTTTGCTCTGTCTTCAGTGTCCTAAGATCATTCTCTGTTCCTGTTTGACTATCACTGAGCACTTGAGTCTTGTACTTACAGACGACCACCACAATGCCAGGCATTTCATGCACATTCTATGCAGGAAGAAGGAAGTACGAGAGGTAAAGAACTTTCCCAGAAGTTGTAGACTTGCTAATTTATCATCAGCCAGAATGATGGCATCTTTTAACTGTAAGGGAATCTAAGAAGTGTAGTCTTCAATTGACCCTAAACAAATTTGTCCTAACAAAATTGGGATTTTTGTTAATAAGGAAGTAAAGCAAAATGCTCAGTGTCTGTCACATGCATTCCTGTCTTGCTCTTGATTTTGGGGAAGTTTTTTTTTTTTTTTAATGTTTCACAATTTAAGTGAGAAGTTTACTCTTAAAATTTTGGAAAATTCCATTACATTATGCAGATTCCTTTCAGCATCTGATTTCCTAAATTTATTGTTGCAGATAATTGTGGAATTTTATTGACTGCCTTATCTTCATTATTAAGGTTACCATGTACTTTCTCCTTATTTTATATGACCCACTGCCTTTCGTGTCATCATATTGTTTTCAGGATACAGCCATATTGCAGCATATATGTCATTCCTTTTAATGGCTAAATAGTATTCCACTGTATGTACATACCACCTTTTATTTATCCATTCTTCAATTTGAGAACATATTTGGATTATTTGTACTTTTTGCTACTGTGAATAATGCTGCTATAAACATTCCTGTGTATGTAATTGTTTCAGTACCTGTTTCTATTTCTTTTGTATATATGTGTGGGAGCAACTTGATGGGGCATATGGTAACTCTAAGTTTAATGTTTTGGAACCCTTCAGTCTGTTTCCATGGCAGCCACCTC